CACACACACACACACACACACACACACACACACACACACACAGGGAGAGGGAGAGTCAGCTTAATAACCAAATATTATAAATTAACTCTATTTTGTATGCAGTTTTACTTGATCTGTCTTATTTGTTGCTGATGAATGTATCTCTCTATGTTTGTTTATGAGTGCATAGCCAGAAACAGTTCTAAAACATCTTTTAATAAAGATATGTCATGTACATAGCAAACCCAGGAGCCATTTTTTGCTGTTTTTAAAAATTAGTAGAAAATGACTAAAACAGATATCAATCAATCACTTTTTATTTGGTCATAAATCAACAAATAAGACAAGAAAATAACAATTAGGCTAAAAAAGAAAAAAAATGTTCTAAAATATCCAAGAAGGACTACACTATAATGTACTGTACAAACTACAGAGTAGTACTTAGCTGTGGACAAAGAAATAAAATCAGATTGATCTGATAATAACAAGATAAAACAAGTCGGGATGATCAGAATATTCAGTGAAGAATGCAGATAATTCCTGGCAAGCATCTGTGTATAGGGAATAATACAAAATAATGTGTTCCATGTGAGGGTTCTTTGCTCTCTAAGGACAGGACTTAGCACAGTCCAGCAAATCTATACTCATGCTTTATTGCAACACATACCTTCCCCAACAATAGGTGGGGAACTCTACCTATTTGACCCAATAGGAGGGTCAACTCCACATTTCTATGACTTTGCAAGGTGACTTGCCACATAACTATGTCTTTGATATTCAATCCTTTAATAATTATTCTGTTAGTACTCAGTTCAAAGTAAAATCTCAAAGTCTTTAAGGTAATATATAACCATTGCTTTTTCTCAAATGTTCTTGTACTTGTTGGGATGATGTGGTTGCTCCATTTCTAGTTGTTGCTGAGTTCCAGGAAAAGCTTCAAGCTCCAGGTATGACTCCACCAGAATACGCTGATCACAATAGAATACGCTGATCACAATAGCTTGTAGCCCTGGCAATTCAATGAAAATGCTCTTATCTACTTGTAATATCTGCCTGTCTCCAGATCTGTCAACTCCACTTCCTTATCTTATGTCATTTGCTATCTCCTATTATACCTACCCTCTTCTCACTCTGTCTTAGCATTCAAAAGACTAGGTGGGGTGAGTCTGCCTCTGGATGTCCTTGAAAATACAAGGGTGTGCCACAATTATCTAGGTAGTTGGAACACCAGCTTGAAGGCCTCTGAGTCCTGGGGTAATGGCCTGAGAGAAGATGTTTGCATGAGTACAGCAACTATTGAAATGAGCTGACAACAGTTTCAACATCACTTCCTCGCACTCTATCAGTCCAACTATTCAACTATTCAACTATTCTTCCATCACAGGGACAGTCTCTGTACAAAAGGGATCTTAAATAATTCCCTTCAGTAATATCTGTTGAACATAGCCAATGTTAAACACCTGTAAATTTTGGAATTGTTATGTAGCTTCAATCTCTGGCTGATTGGAGAAGATGTGCAAAGTGACTCAAGATGTTTCTAAGTAGAACTGATAAATTTGCTTTACCTCTAAATCAAGGCCCATTGTTTGAGATCAGACAGTGTGCAATCATAGCCTGTCAAGCAGAGGTGAAATTCAATTTTTTTTACTACCGGTTCTGTGGGCATGGCTTGGTAGGCATGACAGGGGAAGGATACTGCAAAATCTCCATTCCCTCCCCACTCCTGGGGGAAGGATATTGCAAAATCTCCATTCCTACCCCATTCTGGGGCCAGCCAGAGGTGGTATTTGCCAGTTCTCCGAACTACTCAAAATTTCCACTTCTGGTTCTCCAGACCCTGTCAGAACCTGTTGAATTTCACCTCTGCTGTCAAGGTTATGTCTGGCCATAAAAAGCCTCCCAGGAAAAAATCAAAATTTAAATCATTCAGCAAATTCTTTACTTGCTATTTAACCTAAAGGGGAGTTGTTTTTTTCTCAAAATATTAACCAACTGCTCCAGCTCCAGACTTACCTTGCCAAAGATATAATTGATTTGTCAACAGGTAAATTATAGGTATGTCTAACATATCTTATAATATTGCAGTGAAATTCTAATAGGATAGACTGCTGTGGGTTATTTTCAATTGATTGGATTAAAGATAGGACAAAGGGAATAGAGAATCATTTGTTTTGCCTCTTGTAACTGAAGCTACTAATTTTTTTGTTGTTAGAATATAGTGGTTAAGACATAAGGATAGAAGACATTGGGAGTTCTAGTCCCACGTCAGGCATGAAAACAGATTTGGTGACTTTGGGTCAGTTACGCTGAGCCTGTGACATCAGATTCAGGCAAGAAGCCAGTTGGTCAATTCTTGGCACAACCCATAGATCAACACTTGGTTGATCCAAATCTGCACTTGTGAGAAAGTCTAAGTGGAAAATATATTTGTCAACAGGTAAATTGTGGGTATGTCTAACATATCTCATAATATTGCAGTGAAATTCTAATAGAATAGACTGCTGCAAGTTATTCTGAATTGCTTGGATTAAGGATAGGACAAAGAGAATAGAGAATTATATGTTTTGCCTCTTGTATCTGAAGCTGCTAAATGTATGCCATAGAGGAGGAGTGCCAAATGATAAGCTTTAATGATTATCAATACATTTGTAATATTCATTCATTCTCTAACTTTGTCAAAAATTGTGTTATCAACATTGTAGATGGGTTGCTTACGACAAGGAACGATATAAAGGCCAGCAATACTTGTTAGAGGAGGGAGAATATGAACATTGGCAATCATGGGGTGGAGTCAGCAATGTTTTGCTCTCGGTTAGATTTTTGCAAGCCGTAAGTACTTAATTTGTTCTTTAAGGCAATATTCTTTCAACATTTTATTTATCCATTTATTTGGAATTGAACATGTATTAGTAAATTGAGAGCTGTTATTGTCAATTCAATTCCATGTATAATATGCCATACATTAAATAAATAAATGTCAATTCAGTGAGATTGAGGAAGTGAAAAAATACTTTAAAGTTCATAGTATTGACTTTGCAAAGCACATTCTCTATTTTTGCTCATTACATTTGATTGTATCCAAGGTAACATTTTTTTTTACATACAGTACATCTGATAAATGTTTATGGGAGCTTATAATGTTTAACCTGTAAAGCATCCATTAAAATAATTCACATAATAAAGAAAGAGAAAATAGTCTGCTAAGAGTTTTTGCATTGTTGTTTTTGTTGTTAGAGTATAGTGCTTAAGTCACCAGGATAGAAGACATTATGAGTTCTAGTCCCACGTCAGGCATGAAACAGATTTGGTGACTTTGGGCCAGTTACGCTTTCTCAGCCTGTGATTTCAGACTCAGGCAAGAAGCCAGTTGGTCAATTCTTGGCACAACCCATAGATAAACACTTGGTTGATCCAAATAAAACCAAATTGCACTCGTGAAAAAGTCTAAGTGGAAAATATATTATGTTCCTTATTGTTTGCAAAAAATGACTTTTACTTCATTGGTACCTTATTTTAAACGCACTTTAGGGACCACGTTTCAATTTCAGTGTGCATTCCTAACCAGTACCCCACCACCAATGCATTACTCTTTATATAAAGCTTCATAATTATCTATCTATTGCAGATAGTGTTTCTCCCAGACTGACCTCAGTCTGTTCCCTTTTAAAAGACTAAAAATTCAGCTGTAACAGCTGTATTTAAAATATATTTTTGTCTTGAAACAAAATGAGTCCTGATTCTAGAATTTAAAAATATTCATGTACCTCTGCAGTGAAACATTTTTTTAATGTAATTGGTACTGACAAATGATTGAGTTAGTAGTAAGGTAAATACACTTATATTCTAAGCTTCTGTTACAAGGAAGTTGATCTGCAAAAGGGTAGTTAAGCCACATTGTATATATTGGTAACATGATATGTAAAACAGGGCATCCAAGGTGTGCCTCCAATTTATAAATATTTCAGTAATGCACACATTCAGGTACAAACTGCAATTGGCATTTTCACTGTTTAGGTGTACTGTGTCCCTTGAATGCCAGATGGTATAATGCATTCAGTTATACATAAGCCTGATGCATTCAGTTATACATCAGGCTTATGACCACTGTCAAAGTATGAATGTGTGCTTATTTCTAGTTTTCTTGATTAGGTTGCAGACATGAAAAGTCACAGAGGCATTTAACTGTAAAGTAGAAATGAAAGTTGTTTCTTCTGGTTGAATATTCTGGTTACAGAATCAGCAGAAAATTATGGAAAATATAGATAAATGCATGATACATACCTTAGAAAAATTAGTTATTTGTACTGTATATCCTTCTTTTTAGAGACAAGTTGACACACTGATTTTTCTTACAAAACAAAAACAATTCATATTCTAAACCTAACCTACTAAGGATTTCTCAGATACCTGAATTAAGCCCTTATAAATGCAGAGTTGTAAATGCAGTTTTTTTGTATAATAATAGAATGTTGTCAATCAGAAAGGTCAGCAGTTCGAATCCCTAGCACTGCATAATGGAGTGAGCACCCGTTACTTGTCCCAGCTTCTGCCAACCTAGCAGTTCGAAAGCACATAAAAATGCAAGTAGAAAAATAGGGAACACCTTTGCTGGGAAGATAACAGCGTTCCGTGCACCTTTGGCATTTAGTCATGCCAGCCACATGGCCACGGAGACGTTTTTGGACAGCACTGGCTCTTCGGCTTTGAAACGGAGATGAACACCACAACCTAGGGTCGGGAACGACTAGCACATATGTGCGAAGGGAACCTTTACCTTTTAGAATGTTGCAAATTAATCATTATACTCATTTGTGCATAAATCGTCTTGCACACACTTCAAATAAATCACTTAAAATGTAATATTTATATTTAAAATTCCATATAAAAGTTCTGATTTCTGGATTCCAATAAAGGAAACAAATACCAAATGAGTCAAACTTTTAATTACTATTCAGTTATTTATTGAGGAAAATAACTATATATTTGAGTGTGACAAAAGTATTCAAACTTTTGCTTTCCGTAATTGGTATACTCACTATGGGAAGCAATAACTAAAACTAAACCTTTCCAAAAACATTTCACTCATTTCTCAATATCTCTGAGTTCACCAGCTTCAACTCAAGGTTATTGGTGGATTCCTTTTGCATGAAGTCCCCACGAGTCAGGACTTTGACTTGGCCATTCTAAAACATTAACTTTCTTCTACTTAAACCTTTTTTAGTTGAATAAATTGTGTATTTGGGGTCTTAATGCATGACCTACTTTCTCTTGAACTTCACGGGTACTCTGACATTTTTCTGTAGAACTTTCTGGTACAATTCAGAATTCATAGTTTAATCAATGAAGGCAAACCATCCTAGTTTGGAAGCAGTGAAGGAAGCCCAAATCATGATACCCTCCAAAATCCAAACTCCTAGTAAGCATCAACAGCTGTTTTCCGAGGTCTTTAGAAATTTCCTTTGTTTAAGCCAAAAGACACTTCCATATACCTATGAACATCAGAATTTGATTGTGAAGACTCAGAATTCTGTTCTTTAAATAAGGCAGAATACTCCTTTAGTCACACCTCATAATCACACCTCATTAAATCCCATTGATTTAAACACCTGAGTCTAATATTCTTTTCAAATGAACTAATAATCCTAGATTTTCACAATTTTGGCCATGCGCAAATAAGTATCTTTGAATCATTTTTCTTAATATATAAATGAACAAGGTATTATGTTTTTGTCTCATTTGTTTATTTGGATTCTCTTTATCTAGTTTTAGTACTTGTGTAGAGAACAGGTATATTTAAAACATATTTATGCATATTGAAAATTCAAATTGGTTTACAAACCTTGAAGCACAACTGTATTTAAACATTTTAAGGAAAGGGGGGGAATTACAGAGTATTTTTATTTAAATTCTATGACAAAAGAAAACAGGTTAAAATGTACTGTATGTAGAAAAGCAGCACTATTAAATGTTCACTATTCAGCTATAAATTATTGTCATTTGTTTATTATAACTTTGTCTAAATAGATGAATTTATATTAGCTTTGGATGGGTCTAGAGACATTGTAATAATGAATTGAAATTATATGCACACAAAAACTGTCAGTATTTTCGCCAGAACAAATCAAATAATTTGAGGAAAATATCTTTATATTTATTAGCTGAATAATTATGTGGATGCACTACATAACCCATGATCTGCTGGGTCATCCTTTCAAATATATTTACTTACCTAAACAGATAAACAGAATGGGTGGGCAAAAAAAAACCCAGAGGGAGCAGGTGTATTTTGCAACTTCCTGCCAGCTTCCCCACTCCTTTTGCTTGTGGAAAACTGGAGGGGAGTATTGGAAAACCCAATCATATGACTGCAGCTGACCACAGCAACAGCCACAAATTTGCCAATCCAACTGGCCTGAAGATCCTTGAAATCTCAATTCCCCAGAAGAGATGGGTGCTGGATTTTGTAGCATTCTTTAAGATAGCAGATGTGAAGTACCTTGATTCAAAAATTGTTGCTCTATTAGGCACTGTTTGGACTAATTGAAGTTTACAAACAGAAGGATGGTTTTAGTAGTAACATGTTCGTTCCTAATTTAATTTTTAAATTCCAGAATTTTATGGAATCCAAAGTAACACTTTTCGAAACTGATGAGGAAAATGGGAAAGTATTGGATGCTGTAAATCAAGAAATTCCTGATTTGGAATGGGCAGGATTTGGCCTAGTGACAAGATCAGTTAATGTGAAAAGTGGAGTGTAAGTTGAATTTCAAATGTTTGTGCAGCATGAATTTCC